GTAACCCATCCAACAAAAGCTGATCATTTGGGGCCATGTAACCCATCCAACAAAAGCTGATCATTTGGGGCCGTGTAACCCATCCAACAAAAGCTGATCATTTGGGGCCGTGTAACCCATCCAACAAAAGCTGATCATTTGGGGCCGTGTAACCCATCCAACAAAAGCTGATCATTTGTGACCTTCACAGTGAAGGTGACAAAGAGGTGAGAGGAAAGCGCCAGAAAAATTATCCAGGGAAGACCCACAGAATCACATTGGGACTGAAAACCCAATCCACATGCCATCCTGGGTGGGATTCGAACCCGAGCCGGAGGGGGGACAGGCACAAGACTGAGGAAAAACCACTACATCAACCATTGTCAACCTGATTTTTCTGTTGTTAATCTGTCTTGGCTACATAATACAGGACCCGACACTACCCCCGCGCAGCCAGTGGAACATGCCCTGTGTGTAAGCCTGGAGATCGGGGAGATAGACTTTTCCATTTTGGATGGGGAAGAGCAAATGCATGTCTTCAGTGAGGCCGTTGTCAAAGGCATCTGTGACATCACAGAAATACATGAGTAAGTGGTGAAGTCTTATGTACATGTATGTCTCCAATCATGGGTACACTTGACATCATTTTAAGCATAAGAATTAGAAGTTGTTGTCTGCAAGTAAAATATGAAAGTGTTTGTATAAAAGCAAAGCCAAAAGGCAAGTCAGTGGTGAAGCCAAGGTTTTAGAAATGCTCTTTGACTTAAGTGCGTAATACCCATAAGGCTCTTTGGTACTCATAAAGCCCTGTTTAATACCCATAAGGACCTGTTTAATACCCATAAGGCTTTTTGGTACCCATAAAGCCCTGTTTAATACCCATAAGGACCTGTTTAATGCCCGTAAGGCTCTTTGGTACCCATAAAGCCCTGTTTAATACTCATAAGGACCTGTTTAATACCCATAAGGCTCTTTGGTACCTATAAAGCCCTGTTTAATACCCATAAGGACCTGTTTAATGCCCATAAGGCTCTTTGGTACCCATAAAGCCCTGTTTAATACTCATAAGGACCTGTTTAATACCCATAAGGCTCTTTGGTACCCATAAAGCCCTGTTTAATACCCATAAGGGCCTGTTTAATACCCATAAGGCTCTGTTTAATACCCATAAGGCTCTGTTTGGCACCAATGAATCTCTGTTTGGCAGCCATTAGGCTCCATTTAATACCCATAGCACTCGGTTTAATACCCATAATGTTTTGTTTGGTACCCAGTAGGCTCTATTTAATACCAATACGGCTCTGTTATGTACCCATAAGGTTCCATTTGGTACCCATATGGCTCCATTTGGTACCCATCAGGCTCCATTTAATACCCATTAAGGCCTGCTGAAGAGGGGAGTCCAAGAATATCTGTTGAATATCTGTTGAATATCTGTCTTGTATCATTTGGGTTCTTTTGAAGGAGCCGTATTCATGTTAAGAGACTGAGCGCAGGAAGCTCGCCCCTTGAACAAGGGGTGAACTTAGTGTGTGTGACCTTTGACATTGCTGAGGCAGAGGAGAGCAGTGGTGAGTCTCAGCATGATTGTTCTTTACTTTGGGGTAATAGGGCGTTGGTATGAGTGCAGGTTCGCTTCCTCTGTCACCAGAAAATTGTGGCTGATGGATGCATAAACTTCAATTGAACAAAATTGCATGAAGGGTTTTAAGAATTATGGTACACCTTTTTTGCAGGTTTGTAGTTCCAGTACCTATATTGATACATTGTTTCTGATATTTCTAACCCAGGGTCAGTTCGATCAGTGACACAATGTCAACCGGTGGTCAATTTTGACTGGTAACCTATGCATGAAACATAGACCAGACACAAGGCAAAGTCAACCAGTGCACAGTGGTTTAAGATACAGATACTCGGTCTGATTTATGTTTTTCAATTTTCAACAAAAACCTCTTCATTGGAGTCTGAAAATCAAGTTTTAAGTGTGAAAAACTTCATTTTAAAATGTCAAGTTCTATTTCTGAGATATAACAGTTTTAATGTATAAGCTAACATGATTAGAGAATTAAAAAAGATTCGTATTTTGTTTCAATATAAAACATCTGTCGAGGCAAATAAAACTTCATTTAAATATAAAATATTGCTTTTGTATGTTGCCTAGATGTACCCCCTTCGATTCTTGGATGATACGGTAACATAACATTGAAAAAAGTCAACTAAAATAGCACAAAATACATATGTTTAAAAATATTTACGATAAGACATTTTGAAGAGTACCTTCTAGTACCCATGGTAGAATGCCATAAATTTGTAACATATCAAGAGAGTAAATATTCCTTGTCAAGGTAAAATTGCAGTAAATTCACGGAAATGCCCTTTACACTCGTATGAGATGAAATTTCAATCGATGTTTTCTCTAGAAATATTGCTGATCGTGCGCGAACGAGCACCCTCTGTTGACAGGAATTGTCCGCACAATTCAGCAACACGTGCCCTACATTTTTCTCTCCGATCCCACACGGTTTGTTCAATGTCATCGCATTGAATATTGAAGAGCCGAAGCCAGTTATATTTTTTATGAAGTGCTTTATTTGCCCATATGCAATGAAATAAGGATATCTTACCACTAGTTGCATGGAATGTAAGAAGCATTGTTGAAGAAAAGTCTTGCCAAACAAATTACAAATGAACAAAGTTTTTTTTTTAGGTAAATGTAAACTTGACCAGGATGGAGCACAGTATTCGAGCAGAGAGAAAAGGGTCAACTATTTTAGCCAGCCAGATATGTTTTCTTAGGGGAAGCCAGATACACTGGTACTTTCATCTTGGACTGATTTTTGTCCAGTCAAAAAACAAAAAACAAGCCAAGAAAAGGTCATTGAGCTGTCATTGTGATGTAGAGTAGACATTAATGGCTTTATCGTAACTCAGTAGAGATCTTATTTCCTGGAACTTTTCCCACCTGAAACCAAACCACAGGTAGCCATTCGACTCCTTATAAGAACCCCTCAATTTGCAAAGCTACATGGGCACAGATAGCCTGAGTAGCTGAAAGCGCCATTAAAACAAAATACCAAAGCTTCATATTTTACAGTTTTCTGTCGTCAATAGCCAGGTAGATGGAACTCTCTAACAATGAGACCTGAAATAAATACCTAAAGACAGGATGGATCGGGCACAACAAGAAGCCAGACTATAAACATAGCTCGAGAAATTATAACAGACTACAACCTAAAGGGAAAGTTTACGGAACTGTACATTTCCAAGCTACTAAAAGCACTGAGGGAGAAATGTATTAAATTGAACAAATCACTGTCCACTTAGCATTCAAGAAATTTTCTTTGAGGAATCATTTCTAGTTTTTGAGAAAGAGCCGTCCCCAAAACAAATGACACATCATCAATTACTGTTGCAGAGGCTTGTCCAAAAAGCATGAAGCTGATGTTTACACTCGCCCGAGAGTTAATCCCCTAGATGAAGTGGGACCTCGCAAACGGACGCGATATTAGATGAGTTGCGAGTAGAAGCCGTGGAAAATGGAGTATCCCAAACTCAGTTACTTGGTTTTATATGACATAATGAGAAAAAAATGTTGATGCTGGCATGAGGCTATTTACAGAAGAGCCATTTAATTCCTTCCTTTGATAAGGCAAAAGGAACTCCAGCAGTTATTCCATTCATTTCATGAAGACGTAATATTATCCGAAAACTGTAAACTCAACAATTTATTTCAGAATTTATTTGACTGCTTTTAAAATGGGGTAAGAAACTGATATACATGAAATAAAAAGCACCCATGAAAAATGCTTGTACAAATCACCGAAACCTTCATTTAATCTTTATTTACCCCCAAATCAACAACAAAGAGTGTTTTAATACCACTCTGGTATGACAGAACAAACAGTACAAACATTTATGCAATCATAGCTGAAGAGGGCGCTATGCATAAGTAGCGCCCTGCTTCAGACGTTGCTCCTGTTTTTGACCATTTCCTTGAATTCTTCGGTTAGATGTTTCCAACCCGGGTTTCTGTATTTGGAGATGATGTTCAAACATGCTTGATATAGTTTTTAGGAATTTGGACCCTTTAGTGTCTCGATATCTATAAATGTCTGGGCCAAATATGGTTTTAAACCACTGTGCAGTGGTTGGCAAATTTTTGCTGATTAAACTTGCCTCAACATTTAGGCAGTTTTTCAAAGATTGATTGTCCATTCTATCTCACAGACATTCCTGCCTACGTGGCCTATTGGAATCTGGAGGAAGCAGTTTTCTCTAACCAGATGCAAGTAAAGTACTTGGACATGAACTACACTGCTGTCAGCATCCGGTAAAAAATAAACACAAACTATCCTTTTTGGTCTTTCAAGGCAAATGATCTAAGCCCATTTTCCAGGCTGTGCTAACCTCAATATCGTTTTTAGTTGAGATTCGCTGCTTACAGCATGAGCACAGGGATTATTTCCTGTCCTTTGTAAGCGCAAAACCCTTAGAGGACTTGCATATGCCTGTAAACTCATTGAATGCACAGCTGACTGTTCATTTTTCTGTTGTAAGTAGACAGCCTTCAGTTACTGTAATCGGGAGTCATGCAGCTGACCCTGAGTTCGTGTAGGTTGATTTTTGCATCTAAAAGATGGTTCAGAAAGGGATTTACCTGTAGGGATGTCTTCAGCGCATGGTCAGTAGCTGCTATGAATTTAGAATGGTGTTTCCTGTTTCTGTTCTATCCTTCACCTGTTCCTTCTGTTGTCTGGTCATCGGGCATTGGCTGATGTTCTGTGAAGTCGGGGAACTACCTCATTTCATTGATGATCATCACATGTAATTTCTTGACAGACTCCTCAGTGGCGAGGAGCCTACATCCCCTCAACCCCAGAGCCCAGCAGTTGTCTCAGAGAGTGACGTGAGCACCTGGATTGCCTTGGGGGCATGTCTCGCCCTGCTTGTCGTGGTAGTTGTCGTGGGTTGTGCCTGTCACAAGGCAAAGCGCAATAATGCCGTCGGCCCCTCTGATGGGGACGCGGCTGGTGAGACACCAGCCGAACGGATACCAGGTATGGTCTACGTGGTCAAAGAAAAGACGGTTACCAAGTTATGAGTACCGTATATGTGGTGTCACCCAAATAGTGGCTTCATACTATTTAAAAGATCTGTACTTTTTCCTTGTAGCATTTAAAAGAACTTTATGCTGTCCAGAGAAAATCAGCCAGAGTTATCCAAAGGCATTTTCCAGTGTTCATTAATACCCCCAATCTCCCAAGCTACTCAGAGCAGGGAATTCCTTCTTGTAATACCCTGATTGGGGCTTGGTTTTTTCCCCCGAAGTTTTAGTAATGTGTCACCCACTATTCCAAAACCGGGTTGGAGAATGATTCTTGTTTCATCGGACCGTTCCCACTGGAACGCTGGCGTTCCCTCGGAACGTGCCCACATCGCAGGCATGTTCCAGACTATTCCAGGCAACGTTTCGTTGGGAACGCGAGTTCCCAGTGGAACAGTCCTGCAGTTACATTTGCAATCAGGAAGAAAGATTTCTGGCATTCATTTTCTTGACCCTGAGTCTGAAGGATGGCAGCTGAAATGTAGCATTTTGTGATTTACTCCTCATGAAGGTTAACATTTCTCCCGTGTTTCATTTCCTTATTCACCATGGCATAGCTTGCCATGCCATGACTCTAGAGTATATCTGGATACCGTTAATTTTATCGTGTTACCGTTAGTGTTTCGTTCATTGTCAGGTTTGCATGATGGAGGGTTTTATCATCGCAATGTTTCTATGCGTAAACATACCATCATATCAGAAACAATTTAAAACCTAACCTGTAATTGAAGGGGTGAAGGGTGAGGTCTTCAAGTATCACGGAAAAGGTTGAACGACATGACTAAGGCAATTAAGCTCGATGTTGGTATTGCAGCCTATAACCCGGTGATTCACACACCGACATATACATGTACTCTGCATGAAGTCAGCACGTAGTGATTTTCACTTTTATATCGCAGTTAGAAACAAAATTTCCATCATCACATTAACAAATTTTACTACCTCACATTTCCATCTTCAGTTTACTTCCAATTCTTATTGAAATGAGGCCTATCATAAAAGTAAAGTAAATTACCTACGCTCGTTTGACATGGCAGGCTCCGTTTTTGGACATTGGCTAAGGAAAGATTTGTACATGGGTGATACCCGAATGGAGATGTTTCAGTGGGAACGGGTGTTCCCATTGAACCATTCTCACACGGGAACACAGCAATTTGTGTGGAACGCCGCGTTCCCAACGGAACGGCCGACCATTCCGAATGAGAACACTGTGTTCCAATGGGAACGTTCCGACCATTCCAAATTTTGAGACACTCCCTTAGCCATGTGGACGATGATACCAATATTCACATGCACAGTTATGACCACGACAGTGGACATTCTGCCAACTTTCACTGCCGTGACGACCAAAGCTCGCTGCAGAGTATGTTCATTTTCTTTGGGTCATTCTGGAGTATGGAAATTATAAAATGGCAGTAAGGACTCCTGTCCAACATCCAAATTTTCTACTCCAGCCTGGCTTTGGAATAGTGGGTTGTGTTTATAGTTTGTTAGCATCATGCATGCGAGGAAACCTAACCTGTGTACATAAAACTTGAGGCAGGAGTGACTGAGAAAATTGCTTTGATGCCTGCTTGGAAAATGGCTGAAATTAGTGTAAAATAGATAAAGCAAAATCAAAAAGAAAGAACAGAATTCTGGTGCTTCCAAAAAGGGTCTGGCATTGAAGAATTGAAAAACTGCTTCCTGTCAAGCCAAGAAGTCAACTCCTTCAATTCGGCTATGTATGACTGAGGCTAAGTACTTATATATCCAGCTGGGTTCTTGTTGGCCATGGCACTGGCCGAAGTCACTTGTTAGCTGGGATGTTTTATGAGCAAAGGTGTGTTGACTGAACCTTTCTTTAGTCCTCGTCATAAAGACGTGGTACATCGCAACTCTTGGTGATATATTTTTTCATTCTACATTTGTTGTAGTCCTCCAAACTTTGCAAAAACTTTGTAAAACCTGTGCTTGGTAAGTCTATGAGTGGTGATAATCAATAAGGTCATTGATATTTTGATGTCCCTGACTATGGCATCATCTCCAGCAACAGTGCAGTGGGAATGGTCCAACTATCATTGGCAAATTTGTATAGAAAATGTCTCAACCATTTCCATGTTTTTGTGGCTCAAGCCCAACAGAATTCGTCCAGAATATTCCATTGTGGCATTTTGACTAGCTTCTGCTTGCACGAGTCACAAAAGAGAGATGACAATGTCACATGCTAAAGAACACTCTGGCACTCAATGATATAGTTTGGCCAGCCCAGCTATTGCTCTATAGTTGGTTGGGACCCAAGTATAGAGACCCTCATTGGGGACTTGGAGTGTAACAATATAACAACGGGGCATAATAATATTAAACTGCCCACTCTCTAATTTTAAGATGGCATTTTGAAATATTTTGGCTTGACGTGACCAATGAATATTTGTGTGTGTACTGACAGTCTTTGCATCTCTGATGTTTGTTTGAAACTCATTTACAGTATTTATGATACTCGATGCAGAAATGCGCTCTGAATCCACAGAATTATGTAAATATAATCATACTGAAGTTTTATTTTTGTTTTACTTGTTTAGTTTTGATATCAGTCAGTTCAAGCCAACTGTAGATTTTTATTGTACATGTAAATGAACGTAGTATGCATTATTCATAAACCAATGTGCCTTGATATTTGGCAACAGTATTCATATTTTCCCACTTCTGAAACCTGTATTCTGTTTCTATTTTCAGTTTGATTCATTTCTAAAAGGAAATGTATATACATGTATATAATTTGGATTAGGAGTAAATGACCTAATTGGCTTTATTTTTATCTGTAAAGAAGTGAATACTGTTTTGGTTTTTTTCCCCTCCAAAACCATTTTCCCATTCTTTCAGTTTACGATAACCCTTTCATTTTGCAATTTCATTGTTATCAGGCCTTAGCATCTTCCAATCCTTTCTGCAGCACCC